TGTGTGCTTTTTCTCTAGATCACTCTTTTGGTTTTGTTAGTGGGGTAGCCTAGATTCAGAACAGCCATGCTCGTATTCTCTTTGAAGTGTTTTAGGTTGAAATCAGTGTGTCTTTTTCCTTGGGAGGCAGGAGATGAGGAAAAGAAGCTCTGCTGGCCAGCCTCTCTTGTTCAAGAAGGCCTTTGGGGGTGGAAAAAACCCCCACAACTAACAAAAGAAGTTCGGAATGAATTAATTGCAGCCTACAGTGCATAAGGACGTCTCTGTTTTACTATTAAATACATTTCATTTTGAAATRCATCCTTTTGTTGAAGAGAGCTGAGAGTAGGTGATGAATGCTTATTGCTTAACAAGATTACCTCTGTTCTCAAAGATTTGCCGCTGCATCAATAACTTGAGGAGSTTTTTTCATGTGGGTCAGCTGCAGAAGCAATCCTGCGTGCAGCCTTTTATCATCACTGCTGCTTCCCTCTTTAGCCAATATTTTTTACCTTTAGGAGGAATTAGTTGCATTTGGTGGACAAACTAAATAGCTAGAAGGGATCATCATAAAAATCCTCAAAAGATCCCTTCTGRATTAGTGGGCTGTTTCCTAGAATGCAAAGTAGGATTTTAGAGCTCATCAGAAATGAGCAAACTGGAGGGAAGAGCACAAAAAAACAAAACCCAACCAACCAAAACTTCCCAAAGTGCCTATTCTTTGTGTGCAAAGCTGCTAAATGCATTAAGAGTGAAAAATCTCAAATGAAAATGCRGTCAAGGTTGCAGGTATGACTGTGATGCTTGATTTTGTGTGTTTTGTGGTAGCAGTTCAGAACTGTGTGCTGGTGTACAGCACACAAGGCATCAGTCCCCTGTTTTACATAGACCACTCATCCAGGACAGTCTGTTGCAGTGGATGTGTTTGTGTGAAGCTTGCCTGGAATTTTGTGGCATTTCTTTAAGCAAAGTCTCTAACTTTAGTTGAAGCACTTCGTCTTTTTGTTGCATTCGAGTTATCAGCTGGGTTGCTTGAATTCCCAACAATTTGTCATGCTCAAAATCTTGATGCAATTAAAAGGAAGCATGCCTCATATGCAAAGCCAAGAATTTGTTCCTGGTCTAATTAAAGTCTTAACAGCCTAATGAGGATCTTGCTGCTACTCGCAGTGATACCAATACATTTCATATTCTATACAGTCAGTACGTACTAGCTTAGTTACCCATCCAGTTCTCTGGTGTTAGGTGCTGCCTTTCTGGTTCACAAGTACATGCCCTYGATTTTGGGTTAGGCTGGGCAGGGGAATGGGAGACTGACTGGTCCTGGAAGCCCTTTCCCGGGAGGTAGATACTATGGACGGTTTCTTCATGAGGTTGGTTGTTTCTGTTAGCCGACGAGCTCTGCCCTTTGTTCTTCCTTCATTAGTTTGTAATTCCATGTCGCGTTTAGCTTGTTATAATTACGCTATGTTTTTATATGCACCCAGTGCATTTTACATATGCTGGATGCTGACTCTTTGTTCTCTTTATCCCTTCAAACGGTTCCGTTCTCAAGACTGGRCTCCTTTGGCCAGTAATTAGAGATCAGCAAGTTGCTCATAGCCCTGGGGCCTCGACTGTCACCTGGGAATGTTCTCAAGGCCTCTGCTGTCATCCCATGTCTGGGCTGCTCTAGGCTGCTTTGTATCCTCGTGTCAYGGACTATTCATTTCATGCAGAATAACCGCTTGTTGTTAATACCCAACAGTTACAGAAATACATGTGCATATGTGCATGCACACGTGATAGATGCATCTTTCACTGAGCTTGGGATAACTGTGTCATGCAACACCTAGTGTTTTCTGTGCTTATTTATAATATATGAAATATAATGTGTTTAATAATTAGAGTTTTCCTGTACATATTCTATTTTATAGAAACTACATATAACATGTAAACTATAAGTATTTTAAAATTGTTTCATTACATTATTATCCRAAGTGAAGTAAAAGCTATACAAATTAGATAAGTCAAAATATGTGGTCTTTAAATCATTGGTTTTACAGAGCACCCCTCAGCTAACCTTCCGGGCGGGCCAAGACAAGTCCCGGCGGCCTGGGCAGTCGCCTTCCCCTTAGCAAAGTGCAGTCAGAGGTGTCCCGTGTGCGGCTGTGAGGGCGCCCGCGGGGCTGCGCGGGCCGGGTCCCATTCACACGGGTGCTGAGGTGCCTGGCGCGGCTCTTGCGGGCGCTGCACAGAGCCGTGCATGTGGCGAGCACAGGCCTTGCCTCATTGCTGAGCAGTGGCAGCAAACAGATCCGAAGGAATGATATCATGTTTCTGGAWGGCAGCCTGGCACTCAGAGACATCCTCTGTGCAGAGCTGGTGGAGGCTCTTCAAGTGTCATCAAATGTACTTCATTTAGGAGAGGTCATCAGAATTTGTTTACTGCTTTTGCAGCTCTACAGTCTTCTATTAAATGAAAAAAGCCTACTTTCTCCTTAATGCCCAGTAGTCCCACTTTTTAGAATTGCTGCTCTGTTGCATGCTTTGTATAGAATTTTACTCCTGTTGCCATCAATAATATTGTTGATTTGACCATGTAATGGGCTTTTAACTTGTGACCTGGCATGATTCCAATACATGTTTTCTACTGTGTTGCCTACCATTTCTCATTCCTTGTGTCTGTGACCTTCTTGAAACAACCCTTCGTGCCCTGAGATCTCTGATCTGACTTGAATTATTTTTTCTGTAGGAAAACAGAAAAAAAAATCTCCTCCTGTTCAGGATAGGAGATAATCCATCTTAGAATTAATATGGGAGGAACAGGATGAGATGTCCAAGTACGCATTCAGATTGAGAAGTGACTGTAAGCATGAACATAACCTGTAAATTTTTTCTGTTTTACAACCAGCTGTTTTTAAGACCTGTGAAGATATTGAACTTTTCTATTAAGAATGCATCWAGAGATTTGTATGGTTTGATTAGATGTTCTAAATGTTTGCACATAAAGCAGTGTTCTTGTGGATTGTTCCCTAGCAATTAATCAGTAGGAGAAATTTTAGGTTGGATTACAGTGTGCCCTGAGTGTTTGGCTTCACAAGATGCAGTTGTCCAGCGCACGATCCTTACACAGTTAATGCAGTCAGGGTTCTTGGCCTGCCTGGATTCTTAAGTGTTTAATGTTTGCATTTCATAGAGTAAAAATGTAAATAGAAGTTAACGTTATTGTGTAGTCACAGAGTTCCTAGAAACTTTCTTTTTATGGATTTGCAGAGAGATCAGGATAAAAAACTCATCTGTGTTAACCGGTGTGTGTATGTTTGACATTTTTCAGTACTGAATATATTTTGCTGTCCTTTATATATCCTGTACACTTTTTTGACTTCTGTTTTCCGTATCTTGGTATACTTTATGAAACAAATCATACTGTGGTACAAATAAAGGGCTACCTTCACTGGCGGTGAGACTTAATTGAATAGTAGCAGAATTCAGCGTGGGTGCCCTAGATTTCCCCTGTAAAACACTTGCACAAATAACCGCTTCCCATAAATAATGTAGTGATCTTCCTGGCTTGGTTGCTGTGGATTGCAGCTGAAGAATCAACTTAAACCACTGGCTTTTCTAATATGTGAAGCACCACTTACTAGAGAAGAGGCTTTATTTGGTGCATTTGATTGTCCTGTAGCTGCATTAACATCAATACATCAGAAATTTGCAAGTGAGAGAACTAATGTGAGAAATWGCTGAAAAGGCAATTAGTGTCTGTTAAGCTGTTTTGCTCTTGTATATCTAGGTCACATAACATCTTCAGCAACCCTTGCTGTTATTCCTTCCAATCAGCAGCGCTAGAAAAATGTACATCTTTAAAAATTAATGTAAGCAGTTGATAGGAATTTGAGTCTTGCTCAGAGAGATGATATAAATGGAATTGGAGAGTTGTACTGCTCTGAGCTGGTAGCGAGCAGCAGCGCTTATGTAGGGCTGGAGTGGTCAAGCTCTTTTTCCTGTGGCCCAGGTCCATCTAAAAGGCATCAGTTCTTGTGCCACAGTTACCGTGTCTGGGCAGCTGTTGAAAAGCTACAAGTGGAGAACTTCTCATTCTCACTTCTCTGTGGGTTTATAATGGGATCCTCTTCACTTCTTGGGCTGTCTTAMACATGTCTTCTGTGAAGTTGTGTAATTAGGGACATGGGTTACAATTCCTGTTTGGCAGATTGTACTTTCAAGAAGAAATTAAACACTTTGCAACCTAAGTTCTTCCTTCTTCTGCTCTTCCCTTAATTTAAATTTGTGAAGGTATAAGGTTTTTTTGAATGTGGGTGATTACAGCTGTGATTACAGTTGTAGCAAATGCCAGGTGCTGTACTTCCATAGAAGTATCTTTAATTAGGTATGTTTTCTGCTGATGCTTCACAGTAGCAGACAAAACTAGTGCGTCCAGGTTCCTTTTCCCAAAGGGTTTTTCAGCTGAGTCCCCAAGGTTGTAGGAAAGAAATGTTTAGTAGTTCTTAAATATGACTTCTGCTTCATACTGTTAAAGTTTCATCCTGTCCCTGCTATTCAGTACAGTCTCCATCCTCTTACTCTTGACCTTTCAACTTCTGATTAACAGCAGACTTTATCACTACACTTCTGCTTCTGTGGTTATTTAAGTAAAACTTTTGCCATAAAAATGGCATTAAAATGTTGTGTTGAATAGGAGATGTCAGAGAACAAAAGGCTCTATTAGCTGCAGTTGTCTATACCATGGCGTAAACACAGTCTCCTTCGCTGCAGTTACTGCACATGTTTGTGCTGGTCCTGCTGCAGCTCTGCTGCTAGGGGCAGAACCTGAAGTGTGCAGCAATGGATAGGTGCAGATGTGAGGGAGGGTGGAGAGAGTGTCCAGGGGGAGGTTGAGGTTGTCTGGTGATACAGTCATCTTGAAGTACTTGAAAAAATAGGAGGTATCCTAACTAGTTTTGCAGGAGGAAAAGGAGGTTAAATTTAGGCTTCAATTACTATGACATTCTAACTTCACAATTTTTTCACATCTCTAGATATTCAAGAATTTTATGAAGTGACCTTACTGGACAATCCAAAATGTATTGATCACTCTCAGCCCTCTGAACCAATACAGCCTGTGAATACTTGGGACTTTTCCAGCCTTCCCAGCACAACAGTGACATCAGAAACACTGCCAAGCAGCCTTAGCCCGAGTGTAGAGGTATGTTATAGCAATCTGCTTACTTTCTGATTGAGGCTATTAAGTCAACTTTCTTCTTTCCTTCATTTTATAAAATACTTAATTCCACAGAAAACTTCTTAGTCTTAAGATTAATACTCATATGAGATTTAACTATTGAAATGTTGGATATGAGGTTTGTGCATTTTTCTAACTGTACCATTAAGACTCTTAAATTAAATTTATGCTCTGAATTTAGAAACCTCACTGATACATTTAACATGGTTATGCCTCCCTACCAATTTTTTTTCAGTCATAATTTCATGAATAATTTTGGAAGATCTGAAGCTCTGTTTTTTTGATAAGTGCAATTTTCAATATGTTCATAAGAAACCCTCTGCTATGTAGAGTGGTGTTTTAGAAGTGTTTTTTTATCTTTTAATGCTGTAAGTAATTTTTTTTTTTCAGTAGAGCATAAGAAAACAGCTGAGAAATGCATGCCTGTGTACATTGTTGCTGAATCAAGATGTCCTCTGCCCAGGCTGCCGTAGAAATGTTGCTTGCATTTCCTACACTGGTCATATGGTGCGACTCCAAAGGCAGGAACTTTGAGTTGTGCCTTYAGTGCTGGCACTGCTGTGCTGGGGCTGGGGGCAGCGACTCTGACTCCTTTCTGTGTAACAGAGCTCAGGAAAAGAGGGCTAATGCTGCAACCTCTAGGAAGGCTGGGGAATGCCTAGCAAGGTAAAGTGGTCAGGCTGTGCTGAATGAGCTCTAAGAGGAGATTAAGAGGAGAAGAAAGTAGATTAGGAGGAAAATAAGTGCTTGTGCTTATTGAGACATCTAGGAAAGCTGTCAAAAATGCCTTAGAGGAAGCTTAAAGGAAACATGAGAATTGTGCAGACTTTTGTCAGAAAGTAGGAAATGACTTGTTTGAGGACTGTGCAACAAAAAGGGTATAGAAAAACTAAAGCTGACTGAAAATCTGAGGACTGAGGAAGAAATGAAGACAGWTAAAATTAATATTGCTTAAAAGAAATGAACACTTAATTGAGAAACAGGGTTTTGCTAGTGTATTTTTAGGCCACTGTGAAAAGAAGAGTAACAATATTCTGTGCCCCTAGCAGATGTATTACGTTTGCACCACAGTAATAGGTTTAGCTAAAACTTCTTTTAGTCTTTCTAAGCACGAGAATAGGTGTGCGTGGGAGTCTCCCTCAGTGCAGGCCTGTAAGGACAGCTTACCTGTGTCTGTCACAAATGGCTTCACTTTTTTTTTTCTCCTCTAATGTATCTTGGACCTGCGTGACAGACTGACAGATCTGCGTCCCTACCAAACCTGTGCGATTGCGGGGATGTTGCTAAAAGTGACTCAGGTGCCAGCAGCCGTGACTGAAGCAGATACAGCTCTAAGCATCTTCTACTAGGATAATATGTATGCTTCATGCTTATAGATGAAGCATTCAGGAATCCTGGATATTAATAAATATAGACTCTGTGGTCATTACTGGGCCCCTCTCCACCAAAAATGGAAAACTCTTCTAGTATAATTTTACTACTTCTGCTACTAAGAAGTTCACAAAGATACCAGCTTGTCAAACCAAGTGTGATGTTGTCCTGATATCTTTCAGAAATCTCCCTATGGATGTATGTAGGTGTATGCACAGATAATATTTAATTTTGAAGGCATGTCCTTAGATTTTTTTTTTCTTTGTTCATGTGCTAGTGAACTGCCAGCAATATCAGGGCTGGTCAATGGCACGAGCCAGTGACAATGGGCACATTGTTGTGGCACATGACACTGTGCTGAAAAAGAATGGCCTAATGGAGGYGGGCTCGCTGCGGACACCAGCGCCTGTGTCATGTCAGTGCATGAACCATTTCTTCCTTGCACTGCTTCTCTGGTGCAATGCAATGGTCACAGTCTATAGTGTCACCTGAATGAAGCCTGATATATGGTAGGTTACTTTGTGGTTCTTCTGAGTGGCCCAGATCTGGACCGTTATGGCAAAGCTCGTCCTCCTTGAGCCTGTGTCTCAAATGTCACGTGAAAGTCGGACAGTTGTTTGACCTTCATTATATGAAAGATACCTTCTACTTGCTTTCAGTACGTAAAGCRTAGTCACACATGTTGGTGTTGGTGCTAAACCGAGCTTTCTCACAGTCTTTGTCACCTATAGTAAATGTTGTCTTTTTTTTTTAATGCTACTTGAGGAATGCTGTTTTTCCATGTTTTAGTTAGCCCTTTCTGAAGTGTGGGGTGTGTGTATGTATTTTTTAAATAAAAGCTGTCAGTTTTCACACTTGAAGGGCTGCTGCCCAGTTCAATGTTAGTTCATTAATCTGGTGTAACCAGATCAACTTATCCGCTGGACTTTGAGATTTACTTAGCTTTATTTTGTGGTGCTAGGCTGGTAAGATTATGTGTGATAAAGGAATAGGACAGTTTTTCTGCTTGTGATTTAGTAGCCTTAGATATTATATTACAAACCCTATTTCTTTTATCTTAATGATAATTTTTTGATAGAGCTTTCCTCCAGCTGCCAGTTTGATGGTATTTGTGAGATGGGAGTTGCCTAAGGGTGAAATATAAGGGCCCCCTACAGTGATTACGGGTTGTATTACAAGAACCTTATACACAGCTGACTTTGGGAATGACTTCTTAGCAATGTGTGGTCATGTGTATGCACAGAATCGTGGCACGCAGACTTCAGTTGCCTGAGGACTTTTAATGGGACTTAAGTAGCCTAGTTTTGTTTTTTATTACTTTTTCTGGATGGAAAACACTAGAATTTTTAATTCCCATAAGGATTGTAGCAGAGAAAGTTAGAGCAACAGATTTCCTGTTCAGGGACCCGTTTTCTTTTCCATGCTTTATGTTTCCTGGAAGCTCTGACAGCTTGGTTTAGTTTGCAGTACTAAAGATGATGAGGAAAAAAAGAGATTCAAGACTGATGAGCAGAAAGGGAATGTTAAAATCTTAATCCTTTCAATACTAGGTATGAACAAAAGACAAATAGAGGATCATTTCCAAGAAAAGATGTAAGGTGTATATGTGATTTTTTTTTTTTTTTTTCCCCTCCCTATGGGCATTAAGTGATGACTTTTAGTTGTGCAAACTTGTCAGCAAAGCAGCTGACATCTACAGCAAGATATATTGATTTTTTTGATCACTTATTGCTAGCAATATTGTGGAAGAAATACTGTAAGAGGGAGCATCTTCCTAGGCCCTTCTGGCAGGGATCTGCAGTGCCATCTGTAGGGGAGACAGTTGGTGCTTGGGAAGTGCTTGCTCAATAGACAGAGCTGCAGTTGCTGCTAAGCAAATTTTCCCACTGAGGTGCTGAATTTATGGGACTGACGATATGTTCTCCGAATCACTGGTAGGAGTCTCCTTCAAACACCTTCCTTGCTTTAACAGCCAAGAAGACTCAGTACTGGTCAGTCTGCCAATATGCTGTGTACTCCTGGTGCCTTCCTGCTACTTTTTGCTTGTGTCTGTAGGGTGTACTGCCCAGTACGAGTCTTTGTTGAGTATCTAACAGTGCGCAGCTCTRGGGCCCTTAGCAGCCTTGGCTGTTCCCAAATGGTGACTTTACAATAGGAGGATGACACTTGGTTCGCTGTGTGCTTTCATTCTTCAAATCCAGACTCTTTGTACAAACAGGAAAACGTAAGTCTCAAATGGAAGCTAAAAGTCTTGCAGCAGCAGGCTAGTGGTCAGATTACATGCAAGGAGGAGAGGAAAAAAAAGAAACGTGGTCAGTTCAAGATGTGCATACCAGCAATAAAGATGTGGCATTCCTAATTACTTGTTTCTTGAGTACCTCTGAGTTCAAAACTGAAAGGAAAATTATCATCAAAAAAAAATCCATTCTTTTTAAAAAACAAGAACCCCCTCCCCCAAACCTATAATGTAGACTCTTCCATCCGGGTTTTAATGTTTTAATGGAACTAGTTATATTAGGTTACAGAATCCTGTAATTTTAATTCTTTATTTAACCAAAGGTGCCGAGAAGATAATAGCAGTGATGCTGGTGCTTGATCTTTACTGGGTCTTTGAAATGTCTCTTCAGAGGTGCTGAAGCTGGGCAAGGACCTACCCCTGCAAAGCAGAGCTGAGCCTGCTTCTCTGGTTATACCTGTGCAACTGAGAGATACAGGTTTTTTTTCATGTAATATGAGACTAAATTAGCATTTAAATAACTATGTCTTCTTTTATTTGTGGATGAATAAAGAAATTAGACCTTATGAATATATGACTCTTATTTTCAAAAGCATTTAATGTGTAGATGGGCACTATTTTCAGTGAAAAGTCTGCAGAAACTGTGCCTTTAGCCTAGGGAATGCTTGTGTTCATGCAGCTCCCCCGAGCGCTCATRCACCTGTGATCTGTGCTCAGGAAGGTGTGCATTGGTGTTTGCTACAAACTCTTCTTGCTGTAGCAGTTTTAAGTGTCTTTGGTGACTTTTTGTTCTCTGAGGACTTGGTGTCAGGATGGGCCCTGTTTGCTGATGAGTCAGTTTTCACTCTTGGGAATTAAGATCCATGTGCTGCAGCGGGCGTTTTGCACAAGTTGGGCCTGGAGAGAGCTGGGCAGAGAACTGCAGGAATTGTCCTTCCCCCCAGCGTGYGTCTGGATTGAGCTAGTAACGGGAGACATTCCAGGCAGGGCGCTGGTCTTGTACCCAACCTCCTAAAAATACTTTCCTCGGTCTCTGTTACCTTTTTGGACACTTGCACTTCAAGTGCTCTGTTTAGGATGCCTATGTAAGTGGTTCTAACAGTGGCTTGGGAAATTCAGGATGCTTTGCAGCAATGAGAACTTCACATAAGTGTTCATAGTAAAAATTTTTACTAGAAAATGTGAAGATAAGAAAAATATCTATGACTTAATTTGAACACGCAAAGTAAAACCCTAACCTGTGATTTGAGTCTTGGTGTTACAGTGTATGTGTAGTAGCTGCCTTATTCTTGAGACTTGCCTGTGTTGGCAGCAGCTGTGCTGGTTGATGGGCTGTTTGTTGCAACACAGGTCCCAG